TTCCTGCTGGAGAATGAGGGAGTGGGGTGATGGACCATAATGGAATCACGGTGCGTGTCTAGGAGGAAGGATTCCAATGGCTTCGTTTGATTTATCTTTCAAACCCTTCACTTCAGTTTTTCATTTTATCACATTTTTACATCCTATTTTTTATAAGGATTATCTGAATATTGCTTCTTTATAATATCCTACTCTTGATTCCTAGGTACAGTATATTTCTAGAAATATTAATAAATATTTGTTCTTCTTTTGTTTTTGAAGTTTTCCTCTTCTTTGTTTTTGAAGTTGTTTCCTCTATGTTGACTTTTTCCTTTATTATTTGTTTTGGCCTCTGTCTTTCATATTGGATGCATTTATCATATGTCTGGTACTGTTTCCTCATTCTTAAGAGTGGAAAACTAAAAAGGTGAAGACAAACTCAAAGTGTATGGTTAAGGTCTTTAGATTAGTAATTGCACTATAGGGTATTTTTTTGGGCCAATATCAGTACCTTTAGGTCTTTTTAGGGTACTCAGATTCTTTCAGTTTTCTGCCTATAGGTCTTTGCATTCAACATTCAGAATGTATAAGGTCACCCAATTTCCCTGATTTCAGTATAGTATTCATGTGCTCAATTGTGCCTGGTAAAATCCAATCTAGAGACATTGTTTACCCTTTCTAAACAATAAACTTCCAAACTTTTACAGTTGCTCAGTGGTATGGAGTAGGTAGGAGGCTCTAATGATTTAAGTTTTCTTACAACTTTTAACCTATCCTCTACTTTTGAGCCCTCCTTCATCTCCTTGTCCAAAATGCCTGTTGATGTTAATGCCTGATACTTGAGAAAATTTTCTGATGTAAAGTGGAGGTTCTTGGCCTATGACTTGTTTTTTGGGGGTTAGTTAAGACGGTTAGCAGTAATCCATCTTCTTTCCAGCTTCTACACTTTATTAAGTCTTTTCCTTCTGGATTTATGCTTTATAAATAGATTCCTTTGCTGTAGTCTTGGTAGGGTTTCAGAAGTGAGCAAAATTAGTTATCTGTTGATCTTCAATATTGTACCTCTGTTTTCTTTTTCATTAACTTTTGCCGTTTATTAGTTCCATTCTTCATTTCTCTTTGGGTTTATTCTATTAACCTACTTTCTAATTACTGAAATTGGATGCTTAGTTCAATATTC